CCGGTATTCTGCATTTAGAGAGTCTGATGTCACTGGACCAGAGAGGGGTCTGGGCATCCGTTTTTCTACTGAGCTCCCTAAGGGTTCATTGTGAGTCACCTATGTCACCAGGATTGAGAACCACAGCTCAGGGACCACATGAAACAAACTAAAGCAGAACGAGGACCAAGACACCTGCCCAGGATATGGCACTGCAACACACAACCATGCCTACGCTACACACACGCACACACAGTCACACACAGTCTCTCTTTCTCCCTGTCACTTGCATGTGCATACACACACACACACACACACACACACACACACATACACAGGGAGAGAGAGAGAGAGAGAGAGAGAGAGAGAGAGAGAGAGAGAGAGGACCAATGTAACATATTAGAAAATTTAGTAAACCCCCAAACTGACACACACACTCCTAATGTGTATATGCAAAAAATGGCATTTATAGATATCTGAATTATAAACATACAGAATTAGAACCAGAGATAACATGACTGATGTATTAATGAACAGCAGGGACATAATTCTGAACAAAAATAATTTCATAGGAAAACATTGAGAGTATGAACTCTTTTATGTAAATGAAATTGCAAAATTAAACACTGTGTAGAAAGAAAAGAAAGCAGAGATGAGCAATGCATTCAGTAGAGGATTGCCTCTGAAAAGGAAGAAGAGAGTGTGGGATTTGGGAGGACATCCAAGGGACCTTAAAATTGCATGACAAAGTACTGTTTTCTAAGTTGGGGAAAAAAAATATGGGTTTACATTATAAAATTATTCTTTATTACTCAAGTGTTTTATATTTTTTAGCGATGAATAACTAATAATTTAAAAAGAAAATGAGAATAAAAATGGTAAATTATGTTGGTTAATATGGGCAGAAGCAGTAGGTTTTGGTGAATGAATGCATTTGGCAAAAATTGGAAGTTGATATCTGGTGGGAAAGCAGAACAGGTTGGTGGATTATTGAGTATGAGAAGATTATTAGACACTCCAATTAGAATTTCAAATTCTATATAATTTAGGGGTTATAATTTAGGTTCTGAGTAAAGAACAGATCTGAGAATTAATCATTAAGACTGACTCTTGCATGTTTTAGAATAAGGCACAAGAAAAATCAAGTGTCTGAGTCTTTCAGATGTAATATACTTGGGACAAAAACACAAGTGAATGGATAAAAAATGTGATATATATATATTCAATGGAATATTACTCAGCTTTAAAGAAGAATGAAACTATGGTATTTGCTGGTAAATGGATGGAGTTGGAGAATATCATAGTAAGCGAAATAAGCCAATCCCCCAAAACCAAAGGCTGAATGTTTTCTCTAATATGCGATGATGCTAATTCACAATAGGAGGGGGATTAGAGAGAAGAACAGAGTTACCTAAGATTAGACAGAAAGGAGTGAAGGGAGGGGAGGGGAGGGAATGTGGGGATAGGAAGGATAGTAGAACCAAACAGACATTATTACTTTATGTATATTTGTGATTGCATGACCAATGTGATTCTACAACATGTACAATCAGAAAAATGAGAAATT